TAAATAGATATCGGACACGTCTGGCGCCGGTAGAAGGTAGGTCATGACTGCAATCTAGGATCACTTGACAGATACAGGTAACTTAACCCTTTTATTGTAAAAATCAGTGATCCAGAGGCTATACCATAAAAATTACATCCTGCATAGATAATATTCTAAGTGGAATCTTGGTTAAGTTCACATTTTAACAAATAGATATGCCTACTTTAATGTGTTCAGAAACTAGGACTGCACTCCAAAATAACATATTAAAACTAAAGACTTATTTTAAGATAATTTGGATTTTGTGTGTGCTTAATTGAGAAAACTTGATAAAACAGACACAATTAAATTACTGAATAAGCGTTGGACTTCAAAGAGTTAATCAGTTAATATTATATTGTGTCCTTTATAGTTGGGTGTATTGAAATGCACGCCTATACAGTCAGGTTTTTAACACCATGGTTTCAACTGTTAGATATTGTATCTGTCACAGTTTGTCCAGGCCATTAGAGTGGGATGGAAGGTAAGATGGAGTCAATTGCCTCACAACTGTTCTGACCTTCACCAGTTAATTTCTTGTACTACATTTTAATTATAAATGTTAACTTATCTAAGGTTTATGTTCTGATTTTTATAGGGTTTTTGTTGTCGGTCTATACTTTTCTTAGAGATTATTCAGAGTTATTTTAGTTTTTCAGAACTTAATTTTTGTATTTTAGTGGAATTTGTTTGAAGATTATTATTCTGATAATAACATTAATGATGTTTCAAACATCAGTTTTTGTTCTGTTTATTCTAGGAAGATTGTTATGTTTATGTTATCAAAAGGTTAGGTAGATGACATGGTAAACCTAGCACTGAGTTTTGCCTATATGCTGTAAACTTAATTATTTCTTCTTCTACACTTAAACAGTAGAAATTACTGCTTTCCAGTGAGTAAACATTTAATATGAAATAATAATAAAAATTATCTTTTTTCAATGTCAAAAGATCACAAAAAACTTTAGTCATCTGGAAAAAATGTATGATTCACTAATCAATAAGAAAAATAAAAAGCTCACCTTAATTAAATATTTAGAATTAAATATTTAGATTCCCCCATGTTAATCTTATGGGAGAAAACCCAACTTTGATGGAAAATCCTACCCAAACTAATAAAGATTTCAAAAATTGAAAAACACTTTGCAAAACTACAGATCAAGGCCATTTCTTTGACACTTCAATCATCAAAATCGGTCCAAAAATGAGGGAGGAGTTCTGTTTACAAAAATCGTCTTAGCGTATTATATACATAATAATATAGATAGATAGATTATTCAAATGTTTTGTATTGCATTTCTGCCTGTTAAAAGATATTGGAAATAGGAAAAAATGTGTTAAAAAACATTAGTTTTTACTTCTTAGCAGGCAGTTAAAGATAGTTTGGATAGTTTGTTATCTGTTGATAACATGTACGTACATCATCTTACAATGCGTTATCTTTTAAATATATAATTTTACAAAACAAACAGATGTTGATTCTTTACTCTTTGTGTTTTGTTTTTCCTCGTATCTTTTTTTGAAATTATTACGTTTGGTTATTAAACTCTGTTGAATTGTGGATGATTCATTAACTATTAATGGTAAAATTATAATTGGTCTTTTTAATGCCAGTTGATTTGTTTTTCCAAATACAATATGATTAGGTTTCCCAAAGAAACAGTATAGTATGTAAATCGTAAGCTGTTGAATGTGCAGAGGGTTTAGCTCAAGTTAATATTGTGAGTAAAAATGTGTAACATAAGCTAATGCACACCTGTGGACCACCTGTTAACAGCATTAGCTTTCACATGATCTTGACTATTAAATCAATCCAACGTTGTAAAACCAAATAGAACTTTTTTTTAAAATCACAAATGTTGTAAACCACAGTTTAAAATGTGATTTCAAATGTTAACGTTTTTCTTTGACATATAGACCTAATTTATTTACAAAATCCATAAGTAAATTTGAAAAGTTGTGACACTGTATTTTTTTCAATATACTTCAATTATTTCCTACTAGTTGTTAGTTGATATACCTATTCTTCACCTCAGGAAAATGACAGAGAAGTGAGACAATGTGGGTTGGCCAACTACTGCAGGAAACAGTCACTCACTTATGAGTGATTATAGAAACAAAGATTGTGGCTTTTCTGTTTGCATACGCTGTAGGAGACCAATCAATATTTACTTTCAATAGCTCTACTTCAAACCTTTACGTGGAAATTTACAACCCTTGACGTTTTCGTTGTATCCATGGAGTTTAGGCCAGCGGGGATTTTGATGACACAATTGCATTTGTTTATCAGGGAAATTATGATCTATCTTTAGTACAATTCCAGCCCAGTCAGTTATTGCACTCACTGCACTGTTATTGCAGTAGTTTTTGCACTCACCAAACACACATGCATAGACTATCTCTTCTTTAGTTTTCACATTTAACTGTTTTTTTTTTTTTTTTAGTATTTTCTATGTGTTATGACATTTTATTTTACATATTTTCATGATACAATTGACTATTAATACAACATAACTTCTGCATCCAATAGTCAATGCAATAGGGGGTAGGCAAGGGCCACACTTCCACACTTGAGTTTTGTCGCGACGACAAAAGTTGCTCGAGTTGGCCACACTAGGTGGCAATTCAACATTTCAGGTGACCTTTTTACCATACCAGTAAAAAGCTTCGAGATGTTTTATCCTATTATCAAAATAGTGTAATTGATTATAACAATACGTAAGGATCTATAACAGTTTTGTATGTTTTTGGATTAGGCCTTAGATTACGTCGATTTTTAAATACTTTTTTTGCAGTATTATACAATTTAAGCGAATCTTTTACAAATTAAATCATATAGGCCTAGTTAGAGTATTATATATTACTATACACTGTCATTCACTGTCACCGCGACATTGTCGCCAAGTATTAGCCAAGGCCGTATCCAAACAAAAATGTTTGAGTTTTTTAAAATAAAAATTAACTCTTCAGATCAAAAATAAACTTTGTTTCAGTATTATATTTACTGATGAAGTCACGTCAGTAAGTATCATACTGAAAAAAAATATCTGAAGGATTAATTTTCATTAAAAAAATCTCAAACACCTGTTATAAAATCATGATAATATCTAAAATAAAATATCAAACTGAAAATTCTAAAATAAAAAAACAAATAAGAAATATACCATGGCAATTTCAAGGCCCTCAACATAACCCTAACTGTAATTTTAAAAACATCTCTCATCACAAAATCTTATGATTCACAAGGATGTTGTGTTTAAATTTAATCACAATTTGTATCGTATCTTTTAAATATTAACAGTACAGTTGTCTCCTGGCCTTCCTCCAATGTGGCATTTGTCTCAAAAAGTTAGTTGTATTATACATATTGTAATCAACCTGTTTATAACATATATGCCGTGAAAACCAATAAACACAAAAAAATATACTCAAATACGTTTCTGGTTGAAACTTGTGAAACCATTCTAATTTATTACAACATTTTAAAGAAAAAGCAAAATTTGGACAGTTGTTGTATTTTTTAGAACTAAAGTAGCTATATGCCTTTATCTGTTGTATGTATAAATTGTGGGTGGACAGAATTGTAAATGCTCTAAATTAAACATAATGTTTAAGTTTTTTAAATCCATTAGATTTAATTTGTACAATGCTGACAGACCAGGTTGTGAATTTTAAGGTAAAAGTTACTAAAGGACGAGTGTTAAGAGATTGAGTAAATAGCTGTCTGTGAGATTGGATTGTTCTGTAGCTAGACCATTTCTTCAAAACCCAATAAGCAAGGGCAGCTGGGTACATTTCAGAACCATCAAGATTAGTTGCACACGAGACCTGACTGAGACGGTACTCAACCTCTCCATCTACTGTGCTGACCTCTGGCCGGAGAGACAATGTCTTAAACTGTTCAGCTTCTGATTAGTCTTAACCCTTCCCGAGCGACGCTGCAGGGGCAGGGCAAAGTCCAATCCACTACGGGATCAATAATTTTTTATTGGGGGTAAAAAAATTGATTTTGAAATTTTGATGTTTTTCCAGATCTCTCTTGTCGTTTAAGAAAACATTTTTTATCAAAATAATTTGTTTACAAGTTTTATGACCATAATTGTTGCGGCGTATATATAAGTCCAACGCTCGCTTAGGTATTCATTGATCCGAATACATACGCCTAAGGCTTGTAAATTTTGTTTAGGAAAAATATTTATTTTTAATAAAATGTTAATGAAATTAAAAAATCATTATAATAACAATATGACTTTTTTTGTTATTACTAAAAGACAATACAGACTACATAATACAATACAAAATATTAATTTGGATTATTCAATCAAAACGCCACTTTCAATAAACAACACAACACATTCTAATGCACTGAATATATTCCACTCATCTTATCTCACTAGATTTACTTCACTCAAGAACACGTAAACAGACTGTCTGCGCAAAACAATAACATGAGGATGTCTCAGCCGGCCGGTTTTGTAAAAAACAGATGTTATGGGATCAGTAATGCCAACCCACCAATCAGAAATTTACCACAAAAAATAAAAAAAAGTTATCGCAAAAATAATAGGTATTGATTAATAGCTTAAGGTTGACGGCAAAGAGACAACTTGAAATGCGTAAATTGTTTTGACATCTAGCCTATATGCGTCGTACGCTTGTAACCTTAGATTGAGTTGCGTATATATACGGCGAACACTCGGGAAGGGTTAACAATCTACCTCACTAATAGTACTCAAAGATGTAAGAATCAAGTTCAAGGGTAGTAGTCCTAAACTTGAATTATAGGTTACAGCGCATGTCAGGTGTATAGCTTTCAGCTGTTTTTTGTGTTGAATTGATGGCTGTAAGTGGACGTTTGGTTGTGTTAGTCTTACATCCGATATATCAGACATTGGAGCTCAAACTGTAAGTTAATTACTTAGGCTTGTTTGATTGAGTATGGAATTCGTCCAGCTGTAACTAGTGCTTGTTGTTGACAGGAGATGCGCGAATTGGCATGGCGATGGTCTCCAGACATCCGACAGATCGACCTGGACGTGAACCGGACGTACAGGGATAACATCATGTTTAGGGAAAGGTGAGTCAGTATATAATGCATGTCTCTAAAGCGCCTTAAGTGTAAGTGTCTATGCCAGTGGCATTATTAGATTTAAACCTTACTACAGTAGAGTCCCGCAAACTCGGCCTAATGTGGACTGTAAGGATGCCGAGTTTGTGAAAAGCCGGGTTATCGGGAACTAGGGTTAAAAATAAGAACAATACAACTTGTAAGCTTTTTACCGCCTTTTTTATTTATATTTATATTACAAGCCAGTATAAAGTCATCAGGTATAGTACAACCAGTCCTTGGTACAAGTTGTGAATGATTTACTTGAGCTGGCTTAAGTCCATTTTTAACTTGGACTAAAAAAATCACTGCTTTTCTGAGCCAGGTGATGGCCGAGTTATCCAGACTGCCGGGTTATCGAGTGCCGAGTTTGCGAGACTCTACTGTAACTCGACAATTTGTGGACCTAGAGGTTGTCGAATAATCCAGAGCATTGGCATTTTTAATGGATTTTAATAAACTAATGCACAACAGACTAATATTTACACATAAATGTATTACTTACATGAGTATTTGTACATATGGAGTAGACAATCTTTAAGGAAATGTCAAATATACAACGATGAAAACTAAATATTCTGAAAAAAATTGTGTCAGCTGTTGACTGTTGAGTTAGTGAGGTTTTATTGTAAATGCAGAATTCTTCTAAGGAAAAGTAGTCTAATACCCTCAAACGGTTGTTCATACTCCAGAGATCAAATAAGTCCCACAAACCGATGTTTGAGACTGTAACCACTAGGCTTGTAACACCCCAACATGATATATTAGTCTTGGGTTGTTTGACTTCTTCCAAGTTTATTTCTTGGAAATCAATCGTTTCATTGGCTCCTAAAATTTTCCTGCAAAACTGCAAAATACAAAAATTAAATATTTTTTTCAAAAAGTCAGACAGAACCGACCTAGGGAATTATCATCCAGTCTCTATCCTACCAGTTGTTTCAAAATTAATTGAGAAAGTTCTTTCGGTGCAACTTATTAATTCCTTGTAAAATAACAACATATTTTGTGGCAGACTATGGTTTCAGGCCCAACAAATAAAAAAAAATTGGCACTCATTGATTTCATCAATAGCAGCATAGATGCAAGGGAGGCTGGAGAAACAGTAGTTGGCTGTTTTGCTGATCTTTCCAAAGCCTTCATTGAGTCAAACCTGCGATTTTACTGAACAAATTGGCATCAATTGGAATTTCAGGACTAATGCTGAAGTGGCTCACATCCTATATGAGCAACTGATTCCATTTACTGAAATTCAACAAAACACAAATTCAAAATCTGAAAGAATTTCATCAACAACAAAATTCATCTTCAATGGCGTTTGTCAGAGATCAGTCTTTGGACCTCTCCTTTTCCTGGTCTACATTAATAACATAACAGATTCTGTTCCGGAGAGCAGCGTCTTTCTCTTTGCGGATGACACAGCGTTGTTCCTAAAGGGAACTGACAATGTGGCCCTGGAGGCAGAGCCTTATCAAAGAGCAAATAATTTGGCTGACCTTTTCTCTTTGAACAAACTCATATCATATTAAATCCCCCCCCCCCAAAAAAAAAAACAAAAACAAAAAAAACATGATACATGTATATCCAAACTGCAAACAGACAAAATAAAAAGAAAAATAATAAGACTCCGAACCTATTTATTGGAGAGGACCAAATCGAAATTTCACAAACTACCGAATTTTGAGAATGAGATTGGATGATAAATTGAGTTGGGACGCACAAATAAAAAAAACTGGAAGGGTCATTGGCTCGAGGGGTCTTTGTTCTTTGAAGATTAAGGACCTTCGGAAAACTGGCCCTCTCCAAACTTCTAATATAACCACACATTTGGTATTTATTCATCTTGTGGGGAGCTGTAAAGAAAAACATTGAACAGATCTTTGTTTGGCTGAATAAGAGAGAGTTAGAGCAATCTTGAGCATGCCGTTGCCTTGGACCAGCTGCAGAAATGTTTGCAAAGAACTTGGCTTTCTCACAGTCCCTTCACTTTTTATCTTAGAACAGTTTGCTACATAAAATCACAGAACATCAAACCAACTTTTTACAAATCACACTTACAATACCCGAACAAAGGGCACACATGCAGTCCAACACCAACTCACCACATTTGAACACAAACCACATTACATTGTAAAAAATTGTAATGGAATTGTACCAAGCCGTACTGGAATAATTACTTGAAATTCAGAGCTTAAACAAATTTAAACTAGAATTAAAAAAAATATCTAGTGGAGTCAATCTTCCATCACATATACAGTTACATTAACGGTGACAAAAACTAGTTTAAGTTAGGTTATTCTTTGTAATAACCCTGACCTTAACACATGACAAAACACACATTAACGGTGACAAAAACTAGTTTAAGTTAGGTTATTCTTTGTAATAACCCTGACCTGTTGAATTCCTTACGACAAAGGACTACGGACGGAGACATCATGTATCATGTATGTATCACTGTCGCGGGATATTTTTCAAAGTTCAGCAAAGCTGTAAAAAACTGCTGACATTGTCAAAAAAGCATAACAAGTTAAAACTAAATTATAATACAGTAGACTCCCTCTTATCCGGACTCTTCAGGACCGATCTAGTCCGGTTTAACCGACGTGCTGATAAAAATTATCCAGATAAAGAGATGTCACTTCTACCAAGTGTAGTCGGGTTAAAAGGTGTCCAGATAAGAGGGAGTCTACTGTACAGGCTTTTTTGTTTATTTGATACAACTCTTTTTATATCAACACTGTATCAACCTAATGTGAAAATTTTAGGTACAATACCAAGCAACCGCAGCTGTTCAACGTGCTGGGTGCATACAGTGTTTAGCACCTTCTTTTTATATCAACACTGTATCAACCAATGTGTTAATTGTAGGTACAGTACCAAGCAACAGGAGCTGTTCAACGTGCTGGGTGCATACAGTGTTTAGAACCTTCTTTTTATATCAACACTGTATCAACCAATGTGTTAATTGTAGGTACAATACCAAGCAACAGAAGCTGTTCAACGTGCTGGGTGCCTACAGTGTTTACAACCTTCTTTTTATATTAACACTGTTTCAACCAATGTGTTAATTGTAGGTACAATACCAAGCAACAGAAGCTGTTCAACGTGCTGGGTGCCTACAGTGTTTACAACCTTCTTTTTATATTAACACTGTTTCAACCAATGTGTTAATTGTAGGTACAATACCAAGCAACAGGAGCTGTTCAACGTGCTGTGTGCCTACAGTGTTTAAAACCTTTTTTTTATCAACTCTGTATCAACCAATGTGTTAATTGTAGGTACAACACCAAGCAACAGGAGCTTTTCAACGTGCTGTGTGCCTACAGTGTTTAAAACCGTTTTTGATCAACTCTGTATCAACCAATGTGTCAATTGTAGGTACAATATCAAACAACAGGAGCTGTTCAACGTGCTGTGTGCCTACAGTGTTTAAAACCGTTTTTTATCAACTCTGTATCAACCAATGTGTCAATTGTAGGTACAATATCAAACAACAGGAGCTGTTCAACGTGCTGGGTGCATACAGTGTTTAGAACCTTCTTTTTTATATCAACTCTGTATCAACCAATGTGTTAATTGTAGGTACAATATCAAACAACAGGAGCTGTTCAACGTGCTGGGTGCCTACAGTGTTTACAACCTTCTTTTTTATATCAACACTGTATCAACCAATGTGTTAATTGTAGGTACAGTACCAAGCAACAGGAGCTGTTCAACGTGCTGGGTGCATACAGTGTTTAGAACCTTCTTTTTATATCAACACTGTATCAACCAATGTGTTAATTGTAGGTACAAGACCAAGCAACAGGAGCTGTTCAACGTGCTGGGTGTATACAGTGTTTAAAACCGTTTTTTTATCAACTCTGTATGAACCAATGTGTTAATTGTAGGTACAATATCAAACAACAGGAGCTGTTCAACGTGCTGGGTGCCTACAGTGTTTACAACCTTGAGATCGGCTACTGTCAAGGCATGAGTCAGATCGCCGCGCTGTTGCTCATGTACCTGAATGAAGAAGACGCTTTCTGGGCCCTCTCCATCCTTGTTAGTGATAGAAAGTTCAATATGCATGGTAAGTTCACAATTGCATTTAAAATTAGATTAATTATTTATTCAATTTGTCACAAATTTTATGATTGATCCTTATATTTATTTGTGGCAGATTGCGTGGGGATATTTATATAAATATGTATAAATATAGGCTACTTACAGTATTTGCAATCCTTAAGTTATAGCACTACAACTGATTGAGCACGACAACTGCAGTCGGTCGTCAGTTTTTTAGCCATGCACGTGCTTGAATGTTTTCCTGTCAAGTTCTTGTTTTGTGTTGTGTATGTAGTGTTTATTAAACTTTGATGCAATGAAAATGAAGAAATGCCGTAAAAATGTAAGTATGGACATAGTGTTTTTTAGTTCAGTGTACTAGGACTACGCACTCAACGATGGAGTGATCTCCGAAACGGTTGTAGTGCTATAGCTTAAGGGTTGCGAAGACTGTAAAGAGCCCATAGGTATATATATTTATACCTTATTTTTAGTGTAGCTAAAACCTCTCATAATAAAAAAATCGCATAATGAAAAATAGTTATTTTAATATCCCATGTATTCCATTTTAATATCCCATCATATATAATAATCAAAATGCAGCCAGTGACTTACATTTTAGCTTAAAAAGGCCTAAAACAGACGAGCACAAGATCAGATTGTTCTGTGAAATAAAAAAGGTTGGCAGTCACTTTCGACCTTGCATTTCCCTTTCACATGGACCTCAAGGCTTGTGACTGCAATGTACTAAGCAAAGCTGGCTTGGTGGGTTAGCCGATACAGTACAAGAATAAATGGCACTGATTAAGTGGGTTATCTTAATGATTTAGGATGTTTTGAGAAAGGCACTGGGACACACCCGTTGCCGCCTTGATTTCACAATTTGTCACACGACCAATTATTGAGCAACCAACTTTCATAAATTGATTAAAATCATGTTGCATGTTTGATCTAAAAAGCATCAAAATCAGAGGATTTTCATAAGAGTTATATTGCTTGAGGCCACAAACTAAACTATCATGGATTGTTGTTCTTGAATATTTCTTTATCAATCCCTTTTGATGGAAGTCTTTGTTATGATTTAATTGCCAGTGTTGATTGGCTGGGCTCTGTATCATCCAGCTACTTTTGCTCCTTAGATCTATTATGCCTGCAGTCTCATAAAACTAAATTTTGCTGGGGGACCTTCAATAGTCTTTGATGGACTGTTAAAGGGTTCCTATATTTGCAACCATTCTCTTGCTGTCTATATAAATGCCTCTGCACAATGGTTTTAGCAAATAGCATACTACACCTTCAATGGTTTCCAGGATTCTTCATTCCCGGGTTCCCCAAGCTACTGAGGTATCAGGAGCATCATGATAAGATCATGAACAAGTTCCTCCCCAAACTGAAGAAACATCTAGACAAGAATGGAGTAGACACGGGCATCTACACCCTCAAGTGGTTCTTTCAGTGTTTCCTAGACAGGGTTAGTATTCTGTCAGAGACTCAAATCGATTAATGTATTTTACCATAACTATTATAAGTTTTGAGCTTAAGTATGTAACATAGAACAATAGTTTCAAGGATACTTGTTGGGGTAGCAAGCATCTGAATGGGAAACAGTCCACCCTGGTTCAAGAAACAAACTTAACTCAATAGTTTACACATAACATTAAATAGTAAACCTTTTTAAGTGCTTTAAATTAGCTAAAAATCCACTAATGTGAATGACAGTTTATCTGTATTCTGTGAGTGATAAAATGCTCAGCAAATTTCATTTGATTACTTGTTAAGTCTTGATAATCGATATTGATTTAGTGAGAAAAAGAGGCGTTACTTTATATCTAACAATAACACTTCGCTATCAAAGATTGGATCACTGATGACGGAAGGCTTGAACGTTTTTGACCTTCTCATTTAAAACAAACACAGATGTGATTTCTTTTAAAAACAGTTATTTTATAAACAATGTTGGGCCTCTAAGTTTTGATCTTTTAATCGCCAAATCAAATGTCAAAACGGAAACTTGTCCTGATTTCCAGTGGATTTCAGTTTTGGTTTTGACACGAGTTTTGTAGACTCGTAGTAGCTCAAGATTTGTTCTGTCCAGATACCATTCAAGCTGACGCTGAGGGTGTGGGACGTGTATCTACTGGAGGGGGAACGTGTGTTGACGGCCATGGCTTACAACATACTCAAGATGCACCGACGTAACCTCAGCAAGCGAGGCATGGACGATATACTGCAGTACCTGCAGGTAGGCATGTACCAGGTATGGCCTCGCATCATGCGCATCATTACATTCATTTATTTTAAGTGTGGCCCAAAAGTCTTCAACGATGATAGCATGTACTCATATACCAGAAAATCTGTAGGGTTTTATTTATTTTAAAACTTAAAATGAGATTTTAAGCAAAACATTACAGACTTACTCTTATTAATGAAACAATCATGTCCACATCAAGAATCTGTTTGGGATGTACGATTACTAGTACATATGATACAGTTCAAAGTATGGTTTAATGACAATATAAAGTAAACAATAAACAACTAAATAAATCAATGTTACTTACCTTCATTATAAAAAGTATGCATTTAACCTGAAATAGAGGAAATCGGAAATACAGAATTTATACTGACTAAATGTGTCATACCTTTTAAATACATTACAGATTAAGTGAGGGACATAAACATTAAATACAGAGTAAGGTAACATGAACGTGTGGCAATCCAAATTAAACAGTAATGTCAATATACCACATACACTAAACCTGGTACCTAACTAAAGCAAAAACAACAAAATAAAATAAACAAAAACAATGCTCTAAATAGTAAAAACTCTTTTTACTAGGCCTACTTAGTAATAGTTTGTTATGAATATTGAACTATTGTTATTTTATATTGATTAGTTTATCTTTCATGCATTAATCTCTTTGAAGACTTTTGAGTTACGGTACTTTTAGTAAATAGTTCTTTTATTTATTTATAAGTTTTTCCATGCTTGTTTTTGCAGTCTTACTAAAACAAGTAACCTTTTTTTTAAGCTATGAAATCAAATAAGATGAACAAATAAATTGAATTTAGTGTTGAAATAAAATAAAATGATAAAATAATAAACATTTTAAGATAATAACCTTTAAAATAAAGGTCTAAACAAATTACAAATCCTGCTGGATATGAATTTTAATGTTGACAAAGATTGGCAGTAAATAAATTGTTCAAGTTGAAATGAAAACGCTGTCTGTTTTCGGATAGCCTACATCTTGAACGCACAAATAACCATTATTCAAAGAACTGTGAATTCTACAGTTAATAATATTTCTTTTATCTTCCATGAACAACAACATTTAAATAAACAACTTTTAGATTTTTCAAAACAAGTAATGGTTTTTTTTGTATACTTTATGTACTTTCAGTAATGGATTGTGTATTAACATTAACTAATATAACTAGTTGTTAAAATATATCTACCTAAAATATCAGTTACATTTTTGTAGTAATTACATTTTTCTAAGCTTTTAAAATTTAACTTAAGTAAGTATTTATTGATTATTTTGCTTTTATTCTTGCCTACTTCACTCGGCTCATTCTGTCACAAAATCATGCTTACTGCTGGTAGAAATGTAATGTATTGCTTTATTTGTCATACAAAGTCCACATGATATTTGACAAAAATATGACACATAATGTTAGGCTGATTTTGTTTGAGCAGGGAGTTGGAGGTTAAATTTACTACGGTATATATATACAAAGGACCTGTCTAACAAATAGGTAACAGTTTTATGGATGGGGAAGGTGAAAGCATGATGGTTTTTACTCAACTGAGCTCAGATGGGTGAATTGTTAGGCCTACACATAATGATCAAAGCTAATGATATTGATATTCCTACCCTTACGAAGATAATACTTTTATTTTAAATTACACTGAGTAAAAATTATTCTATTACAATTTCAAATTAGTTTGAAGTAGGATAAGAGTTTACAACTCATTCAGCTGGGGGAAAATATTTATTATTCGTTTTAAATAATGTTGGAAATTATTTTGTGGAAAGTGATGGTATGAGTTCACTTCATTCAGGTTACACCCAAATTAAAAAAGGATGATTTCATGACCATGAATTCAGACCTGGAAGTTTCATGGTTCACTGACTTGTGATCCGAGGATGTATGAGGCAGCATGAGTGTGGTCCGCAGGTTCACCTAGAGCAGAGTTATGAGTTTGAGGAAGACGTCACAATGGAGAGTCTACAGAAGTGTATGGATGAGCTGAGGAAAGCCAAGCTTGACTATGCAGGGGCTCCTCCCTCCAACGAGCTACCCAAGCGGCCGTTCGGACTGTTCAAGGAGCCGGCCTTTGAACAGAAGGTACATCACACTTACTAATTACCAGTACTGGCCAATATCTCAACCTTATATAAAATGAAAATGCTTCATTACATGTCTTTTTCACATTTCATCACTTCTCTAATTAGAAAAATAGATTAAAACATTAATAATATAAGCATAAAAATGTTTGACTCTAAAGAATTGTCCTGATATCTTAACTGGATTTTATGACATCAGTTATAAAAATCAATCCTATCAATATTTGTGTAAAAAATAAGTTCCTGGGTGTACTCATAAACCTCTTCTATCCTTATCTCTCTAAATAAAACTCCTCCTTCTCCACTGTTGATGTTTTCTTTCAGTGTAAAAATCTTTTTTTTCTTACCATTTCTATTATAGTTCAACACTCCTCTTACCACCAGATTCTCTCATTCTTATTTTTGTTTTGATAATCTAAACAACACTTTTGAATCTAATACATAAGCATTCATTTTCTGCATATTTATGTGATTATGTAACAGGTGGGCCGGCGTACCAGTGAGTTTTCAACTGCCGAGCGGACGACGCAAGAGAATGTGATGATGAGGCGGGATCTAGCAGTGGCTGCGGCCTTAGCCAGTCCCCCCACCACACACGGCGGCCATGCCAACGGACACGCGACACACGCCTCGCAACGACTGTCTAGTGGCGGAGACGTCACCACTCTCCCTGGTGAGTACCTGGACAATGTAGATGTCACCCGACTGTAGCCAAGATTACATTTCCATCACATACAATCAACTGTTACAATTATTATCTTCTGCTTCCTTGTATGACTGTTCTGAAAGAGATATGGATTGTTGATTCCATTTTTATGTTCTCAGTCCATCACATTCATATCACAGTTAGTATGGTAAGCTATTGTTAATCTCAATATTAGGAAATGCAGATTTAGTGGACAGATAAGAAAAATGTACAGATAAGATATTCTAGTAAGTGAATTGAGCTAGTTAGTACTTGGTTATTGTGGGCATTATTATGCTGTACAATCAGTCTATCACATTTCTTTTAAAATCTCTAACCCTCTTCATGTATGTGTTACTGCTCTGTGTTTGTGTGAACTTAACTAGTGCTGAAAGGTTCATCTCAAGTTGTTACTCCTACTGAATTTCAGATAATATTACCTAGTAGTTTGTCATATTTGAATTCCAAATCCACTAAATTTCAGGTCTTTTGAATCTTGAAATTAGAATAAACAAGATATTTAATAAATTATTTCACACGCAAACTTCATTCAATCAAAAAGTGATGAAGTTATTCTTTATTCAATTCAATTAAAATAATTTAAATTATCTAACATATGGTACTTAATTGGTTAAAATATATTGAACCCATGGAAAAATTAACAATAATAGAAAAAAAATTAAAGACCGACCAAAAACAAAATTAACAAATTGAAAAGAATATAAATTAAGTTAACAACATCAGAAATGTTTTGATTTTTAAATTTAAGATTATGATCAGAAAAACCAAATTTTTGGGATGGGAATCTTATTGCGATTGAGTAAATGAATAACTATATTTGATGTGATTGTATTATATGGATCACCATTACCAATTTAGTGTGAGAAAAGATAATCACAGTCACCATCACAAGAGCTAGTTCACAACTTAACCACAATTCTGGTTGTAAAAGATACAAAAACAATCAAGTTTTAGAATTAATTCAAAATAAAATGAAGTGTGGTAGAAAATAGATTCGAAATTGCATTTTTATGAAAATGGATCGTGAAACGTGAATTCAAGATTCAGGATTTAACTATAGGATATTTGGATTCGAGTCTCCAAATTCCTAAATTTGACGATTACCATAATCATTGGAATTTCTTCTCTGTTTTTTCTTCTTTTTGCTCATTGTAACCTCTCAATCGTGGAATTTATGGTTGCTAAAGGAAAATGTTGTCATGTAATTAATTAATTGTAACGTCAATACTTAGCTTAGTTTTGTACTTCACCTAAGTGGCCTTAAAAATAAATTTAGAATTAATACTAGAGGATACTCATGTTAACTATGTACTTTAAGATTTGTGTTCTTATTCTTATTTCGTAAGACGGCTTAACAGTGAGATATAGGACTACTGCTAATATTTATTTTATGATCTGATCAATAGTTACCATTAACATTTTTTTACAGTTTCATAAAAATAATTTTAAGCCAACACTACAATAGTGCAAGGTTAACATATACACACCGAAGGTTTTATGGCGGTATATTTTTTACTTGTTTTGTTGATGAATACTACATGCTAATAGTTTTAAATATAGACTATTAATAATTTGTATTTTTGTAAATTTGATATTTTTATATATTAGCTAGTGTAAAATTTGTATTTAAAGATTTATATTTTAAGTATAAATTAAACGTTTCTCACAGCACAGTAGGATATTGATAGTTGTATAGAGAGGCACTAACATAGAAATCGCACTTATGTTTGAAAAAGATTACAAAGAAAAGAAAATATTGAGAATAATGTTTATTCAGTACAAGCACACGTCCAGATTTAGGTTTTTTACACTTTCATGTTTCTGGTTTTACTGAAAGTTAAAGTTATGTTTACATAGATCCAGATATACACTAAAATAATTAATGACTTCAGTAGTTTGTGTTGGATTTTCATTCAAGTGATAATTTTACAGTCAGTTTGAAAAAAATCTTAGTTTTGTATTTTTAACTGCTTGAATAAACACAGCAAAAAAAAAAATTTAAACACCAAGACATAATATATTTAAAAATTTATGTCAAAATGTTGATACCGAAACTTTTATTTTTGAAAAGTTTACTTTTCCCAATGGTAACTAGACTAGTGAAGAAAATGCTACATTTTTTATCCCAAATTAAATTATTTCTTATGTCTATACTACTAAAGAGGGCAAACCACATTTCTTAACTTAGTAGACTTGAGGATAGAAATTTTAACTTCTTGGAATTTAAAATTCCATTGACCACTATTCAATAAAACTTCTGAAACCTGATGTTATGATTAACAGTGCATTAACATAATATTGCATCACGTTTGCTTAGAAAGGTGCAATGGCTTTTTCAACTATTGCTTGCAATCATAATTAATTGCTATGATTCTCAAAACTGATAATTCATTACACCCAAATATAAAAGAACCTCTACATGCACGTTACATTTGGACAGTACTAAGTACTTTACATTTACCATACCAAATGTTGTGGCAGCGGCTTTTCTAAGCCAATAATCCATTACACTTGACGTTATGTCATAGTCTTTGCCTGAATTATATTCCTATTTTACAGAATATTCTGTAATGCATGCAAATCTGTTGCTGGTCTCAATGGCTAATAGCTCACTTGTTAAACATTTTCACCAATATGTTAGGGCTACATCATGCTGTTATGTCAGTAATGTAGAATGTATAAATAAATATACTTCAGGTAGTCCTTGCTATACGCAATCCCGGTTTACAAGAGTGATCCAATGCATCTGTTTCATCTCTTGTTCCGTTTCTGTTGAAAGGGGTTTCTAAATCAATTTTTCACCTGGGGGCAGTCAAGGCCACACTAAAAAAACAGGCCGTAATGCTCATCAAGCATGACGTCACGATAGAAGACGGCAATGACGTAATTTTGCCGTTTGTGATCAGCTGCTTGTTTTAATCTTTCATTGGAAAATAAATAAATAAATACTTATACGTCATAGCCGTCTTCTATCGTGACGTCACGCTTGACGAGCATTACGGCCTGTTTTTTTTAGTGTGGCCTTGGGGCAGTCTATAAATAATACTCGCTTCACACAGTTTTGCTTTGCCCAGCTCTATGCCCAATCGCGTTTAGTCAGGACTACCTGTAGCTTGTTAGTACAAGTAGACAACGCTAGAATAGTCAGCACAATGCTTGTACATTAGTATCTCAGACCTCACTGTTATCTTTACGTTTACACACTGCTGTGCATGATCTAACTTGCATGTTGAATAAATAGTTTGCGTATATCCTCTGTTGTGTTGTATTTCTTACCTGCCCAGTAACATTCCTTCTGCACGAAATGCTTATTAGTGTTGTAGGATGTTAGATGCTTTTTAACTTTAAAATTATAGTAAAAGCCATTAAAACCTGACAATATGAAATCTGGTGAACATTAACCTTTTAATCAGACCATAATTTCAAAAAAATGAAATTTTGTAAAAACTCTTAGACCTATGAAAAAGAAACACATGATTCAACCAGGGGTGCCAAGAGGGGGGAAACTGCAGCACACTTGGGTCACATGGAGTTTTGGGGGGGGGGAATTATTTTACATATTGCCATTGATAATTCATAAGGTTGTTTCAAAAAAAAAATATTGTTAAATTGACACTCTTAATTATCTATGCATTATTATTCACATTTGTTTGTCAAAATAACACAATGTCTTTGCAATTGCGAGAAATGTTCTTAATTTTGGCGCTATTGTGGGATACAATGATATCTTTGCAAACATGAGGAATCGTCAAGATCTGAGACGATGATGATGTCTTCGTTAGAGTGGGTTATGCTCTCAATTTTGCCACAATCACGGATATTGACATGATAACATTTTTTTTCATGCGTAGGCTTTCGCGGCCGTTGTCATTGAAATCCATGGTGATGGTTTTCGGCGTAAACCGCGTCGTCAGTTGTATATCACTGCCAGACGTTTCGCCCTTACTATGAAGTGGCATCCTCAGTGGCTAGGCTGAGACTAAGTCAGCCAACTTAGTCTCAGCCTAGCCACTGAGGATGCCACTTCATAGTAAGGGCGAAACGTCTGGCAGTGATATACAACTGACGACGCGGTTTACGCCGAAAACCATCACCATGGATTTCAATGATAACATTTTGGTATGATCAGATAGAAAACTGCAGTTACAGAGCTGAGGAAGGGCAAAAACTAGTTTTTCATTTTTTCAGGCCTGTAGCGTCTACCTGGTCTTGTGACTTTTTCATCATCATTAAGCCATTTTAATTAATTATGAAGTTTTTTCATCGGGGAACGGTCCATACCGTGGTCTTGTTACCAATGTCAACCTGTTTTTTTTTTCAAACGACCTAATTAATAATTTAATAATTTGACAAATGTGATCTAGTGATAAAAAAAGGTGATAAAAATCTTCCTTGTTATTATCGCCCTATTTCAATAGTGCCAATCTTTTCCAAAATTTTTGAATGTCTCATGCATAAACAAATGAATGAATATTTTGAAAATAACAATTTGTTGACAAATTCACAGTTTGGATTTCGAGAGGGTAAATCAACAACTGCAGCTGTCTTAGAAGTAATTAATAAATCTTTAAATGCATTTGAAAATAAAGAAACTGTTTCATTAACTTTATTTGATCTTACAAAAGCTTTTGACTCTGTACCTTTTGATATTTTATTCAAAAAACTTGAATTTTATGGTATTACAGGTGAAACTTTAAAAATTTTAAAATCCTATTTAACTAATAGAAAGCAGTATGTATCTGTTGGAGGCAGTCAGTCTAACTTAAGATTGGTTGAAGTAGGTGTTCCACAGGGCTCGGTTTTGGGACCCTTCTTGTTTTTAATCTCGATAAATGACCTGCCGAGGAATGTTGATGTAGACACTGTTGTATATGCTGATGACACAACTTTGATTGCAACAAATAGAGATATCCATGAGCTTGATTTAATTACTAATGAATCAATAACATCAGCACTAAATTGGTTTT